CTAAACTCTTATGAAACCATATGGAAAAATTAATATATAGAAAGTAATTTCCTTATTTTCTGATCTGTCAGCAAAAAATTACTAGTTTTCTGTAAAAACAGAAAACTCAATAAAGTGTCTACCTGTTTAAATTAAAATGATAATCCTGGTGTCTTTTAACATCAAGACATTAAAAAAAAAAGCTTACAAACTCAAGATGATGCTTGAAATGAAAGCTATGGTTCAAAAATGTTGTGTTTATGTTAAGAGACTAAAATTGTGTCACTGCAAAATTCCCTATGGCTTTTGGCACTGACATTAAAAGATTTTAGTCTTTTGGTCACTTGAAGCTGTTACTAAATAGAACAATAAGCCTTTAAAAAGGGGGGAGAAATACAGTGAGGAACTGAAGGATAGCTAAGTAACTACATCATATACAAAATAAAGCATATTGAAATAAACAGTCATTTTCTGCTAGGGATCTGAATATACAAGAACAGTTTACCACCATCGCTTCCATTTTGAGGAGGATCCTCTAATCAGAAAGAATTCCTTTAAGTTACTGTGAGTGGTGTTGCCTGGCAGCAGCTTCAATTTCCTAGGCTAGTCTTCAATCCAAGTAATTAAGTACTCTCACAAGGAATAATCATACATGGCAATAGGGTAAAAAAGCAGGGCAGTTCTTCCATGCACAAATATTTCAGGAGAAAAACCTTCAACTTTAAAGATAACCATCAGGTTTAAGGTATTCTAGCACACTTTAAACCTTAATTTTTGTTTTACACCATTGGTGACTAAAATTAACAGTAAGTTTTATGGTGAATTTTTGTTTTTGCTTGCAACTATATACACATTGAAAAACTATTCTGCATCACATGATTTTTAAACGAAATAAATATAAAAATGAACCATATAATCAATACATAACTTTAACACTCCACATTATTTAATCTTGATCATAATGATGGTAACCTCCTGGTCAACAATCTTGTGAGTTGAGGAGCTGATTCTCATTCTCATATCCATCAGGCAGATATGCTCTCCTCAGCTGGTCTGACTTAGGTATGGAGCCTCCATTCTTCACATGGCGAGACAGGAAAGCACGGACGGCTGGGTGATCAGCCTTCTCAAGTGGGATGTTGGCTTCCAGGCACATTTTCACAAAGTCCTGGATAACACTGACTTTCTCTGTTTGTGCAGTACTGTTGCACTGAAGGGATGCAGTTAGGGGCCTTTGCTTCTTTCTCACATTCTGCTCTTCAAATTCTGCCTTCCTCTTGGTATGAGTCTTTGACTTGAGATGGTCACTAATGGCAGACTTGCGAACATGATTCAGAACCACATTGCAAGAAGTGCAGAAGAGTTTTCCTCCATCTTCATGCAGCTCACCTCCAAACTCAGTGACTCGATCCAGGGGAGTCACATACAGAGCAGTCTTAGAACGGTTTCGAGCAGGTGGTGCTGTCACTACAAATCTTTCCATTTTGACTTTGAATAAGGTTCTTTCAAGACAAGAAAAAACGTAAGTGTTATAACAACAGTTCATTTGGGAAGCAGTTAACAAGAAAAGTATAAACATTTTTAAGATTATAGATTTCAGAAAACTTAATTTAAATTAATAGATCGTGTACCCATTACTAGTAACAACTACATCCATTCCTTGAATTTGATGAAATTCAAATAAATTTAAACTATGAAAAAAGAATGACACCTATTTCAGATGTCACTATCTTTTAGAAAAACCTAATCACAGGTTAGTATTTAGGGTATTATATTAATTTCATTCAATTTAGATATGTATTCAAGTTTAAAAGAGCTTCTTTTCCTTCACGGTTCTGGGGCAACTGATTTTAGGAACACAATCATAGGGAATTGTAAACAAAGTTTGTTCAAACAGGGGGATAAATAAACTGGCATAATTGTATATGAAGGTAAATATAATTTCCACAACTGCTCAGAGAAAAAAAGTATAAGCCAAGAAAGCAGACCGAACACAAGTAACATCAGAATCAATATTATTATATTTTAAAGCAAAAATAGAATTCAAAGAATTAATGCATATACACCTCTATTAAGTTTTCCAAAAGGTGATTATCAAGATATATGTAAAGTATTTTTTCTAACACTTTTTTTCCATTAAAGACTAATATTCACATCTATTAATTTATTCCATTTAACTAGTCAGCTAGAACAAAACCAAAAACTCATTAACATAGTGCCTAGTATATGATAGATGTTCAATCACAATTTGTTGATGGAATAAGTAAATGATTATCTTTACTATTTTTTCATATATTAATCTCAGAAGCAGCTTAATCATTTCAAAATTTATCCTAATTGCAAACATTTATGATCACTGCCAAAACCAGTGGCAATGAAAACTTGAGATATTGAACAAATATTGTTGGTGGAGACCATTTGTTCCTGAGGCATGTGCCTTTGGGTTAAGCTCTTACATTAACCTAGATATAAGAAATTCAAATGAATTTGATATAATTGATAATAGAACTCTGTTCTGTAGAAATATGATAGGTACCATGTTTTCTTTATAAGTGTAATCAGAAACAATGGTGTTAATCCACGTTAGAGAATTGTAGCGGAGCAATATGAAAGCTATCTCAAAATAACTTTAAATTGTCTATGGACATAAACTCAGAGAAGGACTTAATGTTTCACATAAATTCTGAAAAGCATGACAAAACTTAGGTTTTAATAGGATTAATTCAAATATTCTATTAACACGTTAAGCGCCCAGCCTGTTTTGTCTTCGGGAGGGAAAGTATAGTGTCAGTCACCGGTGACTGACAGGGGGCTTAACGTGTTAAAAATCTGTTTAATGTATAGCTTTCATGTGCCAAATACTGTGTTGGCTACAGGTGCTCAATGGCAGATAAGGCAGAGATGATTCCTGCCCAATAAACAGTGAATTACCATTATATGTGTGTACCTTAAGTTAATGATTTATATTTTATACACCTATAGCAAATCAGTCCCAATTATTAATGGCTCTAAACTAGTTATAAAACAACATTAAATATTTGTGCCCAGTAATGCCTACATCTTTTTTTTTTTTTATTGCTAAAAGTA